CTCCTCAAAAATACCAGGAACACCAAGCCTAGTATCCTCCATTTTATATGGAGGATTTCAGAAGTTTCCTGATCTTTGTCCTGGCTATTTACTGAGAGTAAGGTGTTAAAACTTTATTTGTGCCTCTTTAGAACCTCCGTCTGCCCTCAAGTTTAATAATTTGTATTAACCACACTTTTCAAACAAAGAGTTTAAGCAACAAACAACCCAAACCCACACAAACCATGCTCCTTTCTAGCTCCTGAATAACTTTACACTTCCACTGCCACCACCTCATGGGTTACAGAGCCACATAACATACACACTGGAGAGTTTATTTTCACAGTCAGTTACTAGGAGAAAAATGAATTAAAAACTAAAAACTTTTCAGGAAGACTACTTAGATTTGAACTTTGAGACAGGGAGTCTTTGTTACAAAAACGACCAAGCAGGGCACTAGAGAGACTGTGGTTGGTGCTATCATGGTACAAGTGAAAACGAACAAGTTGACCAAACCATCTTCCTCCAGGATGACATTTTAGTTTGCTTCATGGCAAGAGCATCTCAAGTCTGCTGGTACAAAATCAAGAGATGTTTTTGCGTGGATATCCTAATCAATGCTGGGCCACTTAGCTGCTAATCAAGTTGTGGCAATATTCCCAAATTCACCCACATAATGGAAGAGGAGAAGATAGGTGAAGAAGTCTCAGAGCACACAGATGAGAGAGGACAGGTTTCCCCTCTGAACTCTGTGTGGAGATCCCTGCTGTTTGCTGCCAGGAGATGGCCAATGAGCAGCAGTGCCTCTGTGGAGCCAGCTCCAACAGGAAGCCCAGTGACCTGCTGTCCTGCCTCCCCATGAGAGCTCTCACACACCCTTCACATCTCAGGATGAAGGTCTTCCTTGCCAAACTCCCCACATCAGAAGGGACTAGGCAAAGAAAACAAACAGGAGGGAAAAAAGCAACAGGGAGGCTTCCTGTTCTCACAGGCTGCCACCACTGCTGTTCAGTTTCCCCTACCAGCCTGTGGCCCAGGGAAGGCAGCGCACATATCCGCCTGGAGCCTGCGATGCCCCGTCAGATATTCCAATGCAGCAAGGGAGTGAAGGCTCAGGGGAAAAGGCTGACAATTGGAGAGGATTTAACAGCATTTCACCTTAAGCTTGAACTCCAAACTGAGAGGATACTGATAAAGCTGTTGCTAGCAGTTGCCATAGGCACCCACTACCTTGGGCTGCAGCCTCATCTACATACAGGAGAACAACAGGTCATGCCTAGCAAGTGCTCAGATGGAAAACCAGCCACTGAAATTAAGCTGTTGAAGGAAATGTCACTTGTGATAGGTAACAATGTTTCCACCACATGAGCACCAAGCCAATGGCTCAGTTTGATTTAAGAATTGTACTTAGGGAAGTACAAGCTTTTAAAAGAGGCTTCAAACCAATATCCTAACCCGTTGTGATAGCTGAGGATCACTTTCCATAACAGAAGAGGTATAATAGCTCTAACATCCTGACCCAGTTCTGGTGTGTTGCAATTACCTCCTGCTTCCATAAACTCCCTCTCCTCCTCTCTTGCCTTTAGTGGCAGCTAAACAAGGTGTTCTAGCTCATTTTGCTTCCTGTTGGGGAACAAAATTATTCTGTGCAGCTGCCAAATTCTGCCACGGAAGTGCCAGTATTCGGCACTCTAACAAATCTCAGATATCATGTCTAATACGCTTGGACATGAAAAGCACTAGAGCAATATAATATAGGCCTTGGCTATATACAAAATGAGCTGGCACAGTCAGCATGCAACAGCCCTCTGGAAAAAGAATATGTATTCCTGATGAGTTTGTCTGTATGTAAAAGCTGTATCAGTATAGCTGTACCAGTTATTTTCCATGTTGAGACCAACTCAAAGTACCTCAGAGCTGTTTGTCACAGCTTGGGAAATGAAGCAAAGAAGTCTTGGTTCACTGCATTTTAGGCAGGCACTTGCATTACAAAAAAAGAAATACCATTTTGTTGGCAGACCTAACAGAGGGCTGAAAACCTGAACAGTCCCCAGGGAATAAGCTCTCCCTACCAGAAGACCGGGTTCTCATCTCAGTTAGCAATGTTACACAAATGTTCTGTCATTTTCCCTTTACCACAAGCTTTGTCCCTGCCACCAGCCTAGCTCTGGGAAAAGGAAAGGCATCCTGCCATTGCTGAATTGCCATTAGGCAGCCACAGAGGAAACCTTGAATTCTGAGAACAATCTCAGAGAGCTCTCCAACTCCTTACAGGACTGTAACATAGATCCAGTAGTGCAACACTTTGACAACAGAAGGCATATTTTTAGGCAAATTTGTACAATAATGATTTAGCACACATGCTCCCCAGGTCCTATGACCACAAAAAGTCCAGCAAGCTGGCACTCTGGTAGGGCAGAGGAGGAACAAGGAGGCCGCACAACCACCCAGAGCTTTGGGTTATCATAAAGCAATCACACAACACCAAAATTCTGAGAGAAAGCCTCAATGTATGAACCCCATCTCATTTGTTTCAGTACTGCTGCCCACGCGTGGTGACAACAGAAAACTTAAATATGTGGGAAAGGATACTAAATAAACTCAGTTTTGGAGACCTAAGCATTCCCAAATAGCCAAAGTGAGGACTCAAACCAATCACACATTTCCAGTGGCAGGAATAAAAACGCCAATAATCTGGAACATCTGGGTAAGATTTAACCACTAGAGGGTGTAAAAACAGCACAGTGAAAGGTTTGCAGCCAGCAATTAACAGCATTCGGAGCCTGAGAGAACGAAAAAGGCATTCAAACAAATGAAGGAGGAGTAGGATGCTACATAGTGAAAGAAAGGGCAGAATTTGACCACTGTGGTCACAGGATAAAAAGCCCTAAAAATAAGGTCTGCTTTGTTACTTCTCCTTAAGAAATCAGTCGGGGAAAAAAAACACAGTACAAGTACTTACAGTAAAGAAGTGCAATGGGGAAGAACACAATACACTGTCTTACCCATACCAACTCAACTCCAGCTGCTAATTTGAGGAAATTCAACACAATTGCTCCTGTATCTCATAATTACTTTGTTACAGGGTGAGGACCCCTGCCTATATTCCCACATCACTTCCTCCTTTCCCAGTGCAAAAAAGCAGGTGATGGATCAGCCATTGCTGATCTCCCACACCAGCCCCAGCCTGTGGCAACAGAAGACTTCTTTTTCTGCTGCTATCAAGTTAGAGGCTTGCAATCAGATTAGCTAAAAGCCTTGAAACCTCATTAGTGAAAACCAGATCTGAATTTAAGCTGCTTCAGGGACACAAGCAAGACAGAAGAACAAATACATACTAAAGATCAAAATATTGTAGAAAGAAGGAAGAAAAAACAAAACAAACAAAAAATGGCCAAAAAATATTTTTACAAGCATTTGCTAAATGAAAACACACAAGTTAAACTGCAGCTATTTGCCCTCCAAGAAAATTCCATAAAGCTATCTGCCATCTGAAATACATACACACACTTGCTAACATTCATTACTCCCTGTGCTCACCCACACAGAGCTCCCCAGGGCTGCCCAAGCTGTAATTCTCATTTCACATCCTGGCTGTAGTACAGCTTCCCATGCCCATCTATGCTGATCTAGCAGCCTGCCAGCAACAGCAGCTCTGGATGCTCAAATCAGAAGAGTTCTTATGGGATAAGAAAGAGGAACCCTGTGAAGTGGGATGTACTGGTAGGTATCAAAACATCCCTAAATGGGTAGGTGAAGTGAAGCACCAAAATAAGGCAGGGAAGGTGCTACCAGAATGGGAAAGCCAAAAGCAGACATGAACCACTTTAAGGATCTGACTGGCTCTGCCTTGCAGCCGAGCTTACCTCACTTAGCCTGGACAGAGTAGGAACACAACTCTCACAGCATCCCACTGTGTAGTATTTATTTGTGCTAGTTAGCAGTTTAATATATCCCAGAAGACATTCTGAATAATTTCCTCCTATAAACTCGTACTCACATACCAAGCACCAAAGATTTAAGCTCTTCAGTTGCTGAGGCTGCACTATGCTGCACTTCCTTCATAAAAACATCTCCCATTAAGCTGTTATTACATATACCCAGACCTCATCAAGAGATGATGAAAATCGCTTTCTTTATATAGCAGTACCTGAGAGTATTAAAGAATTTGATTTTGGTTTTGTTATTTGCTCATTACTGAAATGTGCTGCATTATTGATTTTCTGTGCATATTAATTTCCTGCTACACTGGTTCATACTCTGCTTTGCAGTAGCACTGCAGAACACTGAAAAAAAACTTCATTCTAAGAAGGGAGATTTAATGTGTGACAGTTGTATCTTACAACCATTAAATTTCATTTGTTCCAAAGCATCTCCTCCTTCCATCTTGCAAATTCATCAACTGGGATTTCTCTGTCTTCTGTCAGGAGGCAAGAGAATGCTTACTGATGCAGTGCACTGAACAGTGTAATTTTTACTGCTGTAGGAACGCATCCTGAATAAGAGCAAGGGGCAGGGGCCCTGCAGGACTTGAAAGGAATGCAAGACAAGTTCACAGATATTAGAAACAGCCCAACAGGACGTGTCATTCCCTACTCCACCAGCAAAGCAGACTCTCACAAAAACTCAGTGTTGTTTTGCTCCCCAGATGCCAGAATTACAGCAATAAGTATAAAACAGGGCCAAGCATGTACTGGCACTGAACATCTATATTCATTAACACTGAGGAGATACAGTGGGAGCTTAGGACACTGATTCTAAGCTGTGACATTTTTAAGAATCAAGAATTTCCTGAGCTGTTGGTAATGTGGATGATATTTAACCCCTTACCAGGCACCTTGCCACATACTGCTGGAAGCCACAAAAACCCAGTCAATTAATCACACGTCTCCACAAACAATCCACAATAGAACAAAACTATTTCCACCCCATAACATGACAGCCAGGAAACTGTCAAGACAAACACCCCTAAATGTACAGAGAAGCACGGGCACACACATTTACTGCAATCAGACACTTACTTGATTGTCTCTTGCTGGATAGCCATGATAACCTGAAGTCAGAGGCTCGTTCTGCAAGACAAGAAAACAAAGAGTGAATATAAGAGTTACAAGGAATAGAAATGAAGGAAATACAGGCCTGTCTTAACATAGCTAAAGACAAGAATCTGCATGAAATGGGGGAAGAATGAGCTAAAGTATTCTGCCAACTTCCTTTTTTCCGTGTAAGCCAATACACCTAAAATTTATTATCAACTGCATATGCCAAATTGTGTAGAAGAAAAAAAAAAATCAAAGCCATAAAATAAGCATAAACTAATCCTACTCTACCCTATGTAAGATCAGTTACGTATAATTTTGGTGCTTTTCAAAATAATTTTGATATGCAAACACATTTACTATGATGAAAACTGAACAAAACAGACCATAAAATTGCAGAAGCTATTATGCACCTTGCCCAGTCTTGGTGAGAAAAAATGTTTCCCTAAACATTAGCTATAAATGTGTCATTTTTTTTTCCTTTTCAAAACAATATTAATAGTTTAGTATCAACTTAAAAAGTAGTAAATGTAACTTCAAACACTCCAGTAAGCCTGTGCAATATCTCAACACTCCCAACAGCAAATCAATCCTCTAGGCCTTATTTCTTCAGCCCAGAAGGGACATTGAGCTTACACATTTGGTCACAAATTGGCAGTTCCATCATCCTCTCTTCCAGAATATATGAACCTCCAACACTTCTGGAATTTCTCTATGAAATCCCCAGACCCATCTCTATTTTAGTAGTGCAGTGGGGATTAAGATAACACAATACTTCCTAAATGTTAATTTCTGTTTCTAAATTTATTTTTTGTTCCTCTCCCTCCAACACATCCTCTTTGGAATGGGGAAAGGGCACTCACATGCCTCAGGCATGCATCTTTCTGTTTGAGCAGAGGATAAACTAAACTAGACAAAGTCTGCATCAGTTGCACCCTAGTACCCCTGTGCATTCACAAGCAACTCCCAGCAGAATGCTAGGAGAAGGAGAAAGAGGAAAGGAAACAGACACCCTCCTCAATCACTTTCTAAGTCTACCTCCTGTTATGACTTGTGAGGAGGAACTTGTTAAGTCAGCCCTGCACTTTCTCCAGCAGCTCTTGGGGAATGAGAGGAGGGAGAGAGAGGCCCTGACAAAACACAGCAAAACAATCTCAAATTGTCAAAAGCAAATACATTTTGGGCATGAAGCTGACTGGGATGTACAATCACTGTCAGGAAAGAGGTTTTGTTGAGATGTTTTAGCTTTTGTGCTGGGACATTCGAGTGAAAGGCCAGAGAGAGGTCTACTACCCGACACAGGGCATGTGGCCACTGGCACAATTCCACAGTTTGCACAAAACACAATTTAACACAACTCTTGCTGAAACTGGGATGTACAATCACTGTCAGGAAAGAGGTTTTGTTGAGATGTTTTAGCTTTTGTGCTGGGACATTTGAGTGAAAGGCCAGCTCCTACCAGAGAGAGGTCCACTACCCTACACAGGGCATGTGGCCACTGGCACAATTTCAGTTTGCACAAAATGCAATTTAACACAGCTCTTGCTGACAAGCAAGGTGCTATTATTTCAGTGCAGAGACTAGCAATGCTATTTAAAGTTTGTATCCATCCTCCTTCTCTTCCTCTTTACCTCAAGCCTGCCCAGGGGATTCTCTGTGGAAGCCTGCCAGGAAGCAATCACCCTCTCCTCATGCTCTCATGCTACAGTAGCATGCACAGTATGAAAGCTTCAAGGACAACAAAACTTTTAGCGGCCAATTTTTGGGGATTAACAGTAATTAATTAGGCTGGCCACTGTGTGAGTACATTCTTCTCAAATACTAGCAGCCAGAATGCAGGTTAAGCACAAAACTCCACAAACTATTCAGAAACAGAAGGAAAAACACAGATGTTGAAGAAGCAAATGGAGACCATCAACTACACACCACTCAAAGCTTTTGGGTTTTAACTACGAACTTAAGTAAGAGCAAACACCACGATGGAAATGTACAGTTAGTCATTTTCTCCCCCAATGTAAGTACACCTTATAAGCACTGTGATTGTTTATCCCACAAACTACAGTTTACCAACGTATGTCTAAATACCATAAACATCCACCTTGTATCAGGAGAATAGTCTTCCTCTTCAAAGATTATTCCAGGCATGCTTTTAACAGTACTTATATACACACCTGCAAGGCCAGTATCTCAGACAAGTTCCTGTACAAGTCTCTCTCAATACCCTGAAAACCAGAAAGATTTCTACACAGAGAATAATGAATTAATGGACAAGTTGCCCTTACGGATACTAAAGATATGGGCAGTGAATGCAAGCTGAAAGTTATAATAAAGAAAGAAAAATACTATTGTTATTTTCAGGATTATGCTCTTCACATAAGGGACCAATAAAGAGGGACTCCCATCACAAGGCTGTGGCAGAAAAAGAGACAGAACTGAACTTTGTGGGATTTCCTGAAATCACAGAACCTGGATGCCAAGAAACCACAGCTAAAAACAGAACAGTTTCGAAAGTAGAAGCGAATCACAAAAATGTGAAGAGAAAGATGATTACCGAGATCTGAGGACAGTCCACAATACCTAAGAAGCCAGAAAGAAACAAGAAAAATTGAATGGAAGGGAAAATGCCCCACATCCCACAATCTCTACTTTGTTTTTTGGAGGACAAACCTCACAGAATGCAGACTAGTAATGTCTGAAGGACATGGTTGCATCAGGAGGTAAAAGAAGAGGTGAAAGAGCGTTACATTAGTGAGAGTTCTGAGATAGCAGAGGTTAGAAAGAGGGCAGCAGCTGGAGCACTAAGGTCACAAAAAGGCCAAAGATATCTCTTTGCCTTTCATACAGCAATGCTACCACCAAGTACTGGACTCTTTGCAAAATCCCTGCTGTGCGTATCATTGCTCTAATTGAACTTAACTCTCCAAGAGAAGGCAGGAAGCGCCTAGGGAAACCGTCTCCTGCCAATAATCTCCAGTGCTGCCAATTTTACAGGTCACTAATGGTGAATCTGGGGCCTGCTGCATGATTATTCCATACGGAGTTTGCTTTTGTTGAAAACTAAACAGAGCAAGAAGTGAAAGCGTTAAACTCCTGCAACTGGAACAGCACAGTCCAGCACCATCCAGACAGAAAACCCCTGCCAGTAGGCAATCTAAGGCAGCAGAGGCTGGGGATACAGCTCAATCTCCTCCTCTGACTGCACATGAACAAAACCAATCTCACAAAATGGAAGTGGAAAAGGGAGAGGGAAGGTTTGACACAGATAAGTACCCACCACAAACACAGAGGGACTCTGCCTTCTGGCAGCAGCCTGATGGGAGAGGGAATCCCCAGATAACTCCATCTCTTTCGCACAGCTCCCTCCTGCCAATTACATTCTCTTTTGATGCCAACATGCAACCAGACATTCATAAAGAAATTGAGTTAGGTAGCACTAGCCTGCAAAATCAAATCAAACTGCCACTGGGATGTTTCATTACTCTGTTTACCGCTGAAAGGCATTTCTCAGGCACTTGCAATTTGCTTTAGAGTAGAGAGAATAAAACTGGAAGCTAATACCAGAAATCAGCTTTCTGCAACACGTATTGGGATTTTATTCAAACCATATGGATGATCTCACACATGGGCTTCCACACTTCCACAGGGTGTGTGACCACTGTGGCTGTACCCTAGCGACAGCCTCTGTGCAGGCCAAGTAGATTTGACAGGATAAAAGTCACAACTCAGTCAAATCCACTAAGTCTTTACCACCCATATATTTCAAAGTTTTCCCATTCTTTCATTTCCCAGCCTTGCTAACACAAGACCTTTTCCATTGGCACTTGCAATAGTAAGGTCTGCCACAAACTGCAAGTCACAGGTACTACCTCAGGTCAGAAGATAAACTCAGCACAGCCATTTGCAGATGCCTGAAGTTCCAAGTAGATCCTCCTGCATGAGCAGAACAGCCAGGCTTTGGAGTTTTTGGGAGTTTTGATACCTCTCAAATCAACAAATTCTAAGAGCTGCTGAATTAGACACATCTTAAAAACATAAGGAACTGCCAATCAACAAAAATGCCATTAAGAAGTGATCATCTCTGCAGGTGGCACTAACTTATGAAAGGCCTCAAAGGACTGGAATAAAGTCATTCCTCTAAGGAAAATATCACAACCCTAACACCTAACGGAAGGTCTGAAAATCCTTCTAGCCTTTTCTTAAAATTAAAACTAAATTTTAGCTTAAAAATGCAATAATCCTATTTTTGGACTAACCTGGCCCCAGAATGAATCAATTCCACATCACAACTTGTCATTTTGCCAGATGAAACAATCACTGAGGCCTGATCAGCTACTCTTTCCTGATAGCTGAATGAAACCTAAAGTCTGCAGATTACAACTTTGCTCATAGGAACCATTATCTTAGCAAGTTCATCCACACTTCTCCCAGCCAGGAAATCAATTCCTGCTGAATCCAAGCTTCAGCTTGCAGTGCTGAGTCCATTCCATTGCAAAGATAATCTCAGAAACATGACCAAGCAATCTCTTCCCTGGATCTGCAGCATTCCTGCTTTCTGACAACGCCAGGATAAGTGGAGTGAGGTTAATGCAGTCCTTTCAAGTTCCATAACCACCTGCTGGGTTCCGAACAGCAGCAGGGAAACTCAGAGGAACAGCTCGTCTGTCTCTGCTCTGGCTGCCCCCAAGAGCTCCGGGTGGTGCAGCAACCTGGTAGCTTGGAAAGAAGCAAGAAGGGAGAGTCCCTGCACCAGAAAGCCAGAAACCCTCAGACTACACAGAGCAGAGAAAAAAAGGCAACAAGAAATTACTTGTTCCTCCGGAAAGCGAAATGGGATTTTTGAAGTGATGAGATAGCACAAGCTACACATTTATCAGACTTGTACTAGACAAACAGAAGCCACTTTCTCAGAGCACAGTGAATAAGATGTTCACAGTAAGGGAAAAAAAAAAGGCTGAAAACACTGGCTACGAAACTATTAATCTGAAAGTGACAGTTGCAAAAAAGTAAAGATCATGAGCCAGACAGAAATCCCA